CTTCTGCGGCAGGATGGTCCCTGCTGCAAGGGAACCAGTGGTTGAAAGTAAAGTGCAAATCTGCAGCCTTTTTTGACGAATGAACTTAAGGTATTTAGAGTGAAAGCTGATCTCCTGCATAGCTTAAGCTAAGCTGATGATCTAGAAAAAAACCACATGAGCAAATGGAGAGGGGTTGCAGCATGGTTTAGTTAACCCTGAGGAGTTGCAGGTTCTGTGGATGACGGGTGTAAATTGGAGGAGTGGATGGTGTTTTGTGGCACAAACGTGACTTGTCTATTACAGCAGTTCGTTATAGCAGTATTTCTTTTTAAACACCAACTAATTTACCTGTCCCTAATGGTGAAGGGTAAACTGTGGATTGTATATGGGTGAACGAGACACAGGAGACAGACCACATCCCATTATACTGGGAATCCACTTATTCTTCTTTTCCATACTTTGCTTCTTAGAAGCCACGTGTTTTGAAACACACTTTTAAGATGCATCAACAGAAGCTTCAAATAGTGGGTTAAATGAGGTTTTTCTAAAACTTGGGAGTTCTTCCTTTACCACAAACCTTAGCCAACTTATGCTGCAACTCTTGGATGATTTCTGGAGACACAGAATGGGATGTCTGTGGGACCAGTGCCATAGGCCTTAATATAAAGAACTGTCAAAGAGCTCTGATACCTCAGCTCTAATCCACTTCCAAAAGTCCTGTGTCCTTGGTTGTACCAAGAACAGAGTATCTGCTGTCTCTCTTCTTCAACAGCACTGCTTTTGCATTTCCTCTTGTTGTAACTGACTAATAGACTGAGTATAATGGTGTCAGTGGTAGTTCACGTTAGTGAGCCCTGGCAAAGACCTTCACAGACAACCTGCAGGCTATATCCATTCTGCCAGCACAAAAAAAGTGGTCAACTGGTGATGTGTTTTCTTACTGCTTAGGCTCAGATCACACCATGTCAGTGCAGCTGAAGTACCGTACACCATGTCTCAAGTGAGTTGCAGGTGATGCTGCAGACTCCCATTACCAGCAGTTTGCAGGTCGCAGAGCTCAGCTGACCCAGCAGTAGCCCTGAGCTGCCAGGAGATTGGCAGTTTCATGGGTGGTGCCCAGGTGCAGAATGAGAAAGGAAGTTCTCTAGGTGCTTTCCTTGGTGCTGTGCTACCCCTGTGTAATGAGCTGGAATGGGTGCTGCTGCCCACTGCTGCCGGTAGCTGTTGTGCAACGGTCCTTGCCAACAGGAAATTACATTGGATTAATTAATTCTTCCCATTTCACTGCTTAAGCTGATGGAGCCCTGATACTGACCTATTTTCCTTGACATGCTCTTAGTTGAGCTGCTAGCTTTAGTTAGTGGTGTGTGTGTTCTGTTTAAGATGCTTAACATGTTTGTTTTGTTTGTTTTTAAAATTGTTTCTGTAGAGCATGAAGACTTTTTAACAGTAGCAGAATCTCTGAAGAAAGAGTTTGACAGCCCAGAAACCTCAGACCTAAAGTTCCGTGTGGATGGAAAATACATCCATGTCCACAAAGCTGTTCTGAAAATCAGGTAGTGGTCATGTTTCACAGCTCTTTTTTATACAGAATAGTGTCTCCATCTAAGAAGGGGATGGGGGGAAAGTGAGGAATAGAGAGGGATCCTTAAACCTGTAATATATAGCATCCATATATCTGTAATCACTTCCAATGAAGTGACTGTAAAAGGGATTGAATCAACACTCTGTCTTAAAATGGTCCATATTCGATTTCCACTAAGCCTATTTGTTGTTTCCAGGATAATAAATTCTGTTAAGTTGGTCTGATTGCGATGTATACACAGACGTTTCTGTAGCATAGATCAGAGAAGAATTTTATCTTGATGCCCAAGTATAACAATCCCCATGGTATTAGAAACCAAAACGTGGACCACTGGCTGTGATGGAGTGTGGTAAAACATTTGTGAGCATTGCAGAGTGTTCCACATGTATATTTGAGGGGGGCTGTACTGTAATGTTCATATGTTCATGTAATGGTGTTCCAGATGATGTCTTTGTCTCTTAGGTGTGAACACTTCAGAACCATGTTCCAGTCATACTGGAATGAGGATATGAAGGAAGTGATAGAAATAGACCAGTTTTCTTATCCTGTGTATCGTGCCTTTCTTGAGTACTTGTATACAGACAGTGTTGACCTTCCGCCTGAAGATGCAATAGGTATTGCTTACGGTCCAATTATGTTAGAAAAACTGAGATAGAATGCAGAATAAATGTATGAATATAGGCTTCTAGTCTAGCCTACACTGCAATTTACTGATGGTTAAGCTGTCTTTAAAATACTGTTGTAGCAAATGTACTCCAGTGAAAGTGGTGCATATTTAGAAATAAACTATGAGCAGTTTTTTCAAGGTTGGGAGAGAAACTATTCCTCTCAGTTAAAATACTTGTATAATTTACTAAATCGAGTCAGTTATTGTTTAGGATAATATGAAAGAATCTCAGTAGGCCTAATAGGGGAAACTTGGACAGCAGAGCAAAGAGCAAGCTGTAATTCAAGCAGAGATTTTTATAATGATAGCTTTCTGCTCGTGTTGTGGTGCCTGTTTTGTGACAGTTCCCCTCTCGCAAGCAGTTAGGTATGCAAATCAGTGGAGCAGCTTGCGTATTTAGGGAGATTAGCAGAATTGCAGTGTGAGGTTATAAAAGGCCTTTCTTGCTGTGTAATGGTAAAATACATTTTTCTGAATAGTGATTTACTTGCAAAAAGCATGTTATAGATTATTCTATACAGGTTATTAGATGCAGCCTGTACCCCAGGAGCGTACACTATTGTTGAGAGAGCAGAGATCATTACAACTGACTAATATAATGGCATTTTAATTGCAGGGCTTTTGGATTTGGCTACTTCGTACTGTGAAAATAGACTGAAAAAACTGTGTCAACACATTATCAAGAGAGGAATTACTGTGGAAAATGCATTTTCATTGCTCTCTGCTGCTGTCAGATATGATGCAGAGGTAAACTTCTAAACTTCAATCTCTTAAATAGGTGGCTGCTTTCTGACTTAAACTATGGAGGAAAGCAGCCAGTTACATTTTCATATAAACTCTCTCTCACTATCAGATAGTACTCTTTGCCATTTTCAGAATTTGAGAACATTAGACTTATAAAAACAGTATTTGCAGTGAGAGATGGATCTTGTTTGTTTGTTTGTTTGTTTTTCCATAAACCAGTACTGGGAAGGCGAACTACTACACAGATATCTAAAGATTACCTAAGTCCCAGGCTGAGAATTATTGTCTGTAAGTGCTTGAATTGCTCAATTTCATGGTAAAAGGTTATGACACTGTGCCAAGTGTCATGAATTTCTGTTTCTGTGGGGGGGGGAAAAAAAACCTGTAACAAAAAATTTCTGAGGATGAGAACACTAACTCTGAAACAGAGGAAGGGTTTAATACAAAGCAAACCCCATAACATTATGATAAGCAGTCTTGTAAGCCTTCAGTTACTCATTTGGGTGGTGTGTGTGATGTCTTATGGTGGTAGGTTTGGGGATTCAGTGCAATTGGGCTTTTTTGGTTGGTGGGGTGTTTGTTGCCTTGTTTGGTTTGTTTAGCTACAGTCAGATGCACTCTCAGTTTTCACAGCATGCTAATGAAGCGGCAGGATAAGAACTGCTCTATGGGCCTGGGAAATTTTGAAGACAGAGAAACTGTGTGAAAAGGGGAGAAGGCTAGCAAAACTTCCCTGCTGCGTAATGTCTGACTCCACTGCTAGCTCACTAACTTGCTGCTTTGTGAACTGATCAGGAAGTATTCCTGGGCTTGCTTCGGCTGTTTGTATTCAGCACAGTATCTGTGCATCACGTTTGCAACTTCACGATTGGTTAGTTCTTAACTTGCTACTTGTGCTTATAGAGCAGTTTTGGTGCTCAGTGAATCAGCTCATTGCTTTTCGCGCACGTAACATCCAGCAGTTGGCTTGCAGATGCCCTAACTTACCTCAGAGCCTTGTAGTGCATTGCTTGTTCGTTATACCTTACCCAAAGGGCTGTGTTAGCATCTGAATGGTGGCTTCAGTGCTACTGTGAATAACGATTTCTTTGGTAAGAGCTCATGGAAACCAGAAAGATTTCTGTATTTTAGCTTTAAAAGATTTTTTGCAGGCTGGGTCTTCAGTACATGATTGATTCTGCTTGTAAAGTGTGAAAGCAAGCCAGTTACTGTGCCTTGGCTGTACCCCCTCGCTAAAGGAAGTTAGAAATGAAGTTAGAACAACAGGCTTAAGTGCTACACCAAGGAGAGAATGGGTGACACTGAGGGGTTGGGCTGTACTAAAAACTGGGTTTTACATGCAGCAGTGCTAGATGGGGGCTTGAAATTGCTTGGGTGATGTAGTTAACTCAAGGGACTGTGCATCTGGAAGACAACAGTTAAAAGAAACTGCTTCACCAGTTAAAAATACCTTCATGACATGAAACTCTCCTGTACTTTCTTTTGGTGAGGGACTGAAGTGGCTAGAACTAGGTCAGGTCTGGCTTCTTACCGTAACTTTCAAAATAATCATTGGATGTACCTTGTGCCTTTATTTACTTCAGTCTATATTAAGTACAGTTTGCTGGGAGTGCATCCATCTGCAAATAAAATTCATCCTTTTTTTTTTTATACAAAACTTTAAATTTCCCAAAGTTACTAATACTACAATATTTGTGTTTATTGTATGCTTCTGTTGCATTGACTTGGAATATGATTTTTTTAATAAAGCAGTGCAAAATACTGTAATGTGTATGATGTAGTTTTGTTTAAAATGCTAGTTCGTTCTGGTATTTTTAAAAAAGAAACCCCTCAGTGTTCAGTTCTAATAAGCGTGTCTTTTTTCGTTGCACAGATGCCACACAAGTCAAGATCTGCAGCTTCAGAGTGCCTGGTTTTAGGCCAGGATATATTTTTATATTATTGTTGTGTCAAGAACTCACTGGCACACAGTTGCTCTAGCTTTCAGTACTGACCTTAAGTGAAAACCTGAATATTTATTAATCAGTCGTTCTTACCTCACGTGGCTTAAATCACACAGAATCACAGAATGTCAGGGATTGGAAGGGACCTCGAAACATCATCCAGTCCAATCCCCCTGCCACAGCAGGAACCTGGATGAGATCACCACAGGAAGGCGTCCAGGCGGGTTTTGAATGTCTCCAGAGAAGGAGACTCCACAACCTCCCTGGGCAGCCTGTTCCAGTGGTAGAGCTCTGCAAATCTGTTATGCCTTACAGCAGCGCCCAGTCTGCTGAGCAGTCAAGGAAGGGTGTGTTCTCACAAATCAAGTACTAGTTCCATAAACTTAAAGAAATCGGAACATTTGTGAGTGGGGAGTTGCTATTTGGTAAGGGCTGCAGCATCCTCCTTATAGCACCTTAGATCTGCACCGCAAAGAATGGATTTCCTCCTCAAAAGAGGAGCTGGAAACAAATAATTTGAGTGGGAAGTGTTCTGTAGTCAACTCTATATTGACAGTGGCTGTCTCTTGGTTTTTAGACACCTTTTATCTGTGACATCACATGGGTGCAATGATGGCTGTCTGTGAGGCTTTTCGAATCCTTCAACGGAGGGCACTTCCAAGTAGACTCCAGTACCCAGAGCCCACTTTCTGCAAGAAGTGCTGTGCTGTCTTGTGCCACAGAACTTCTTTTGAATCATTTTTGGGACATCTGTGAAATACTCTGTAACATGAGCCTGGTTTTGATGCACAGAAAGGCCTTTTGCCTCAGTCGTGCTTTGAAACTCTGCAGTTAGTATGTGCTTGCTCTGAGCCTGGTGACCCACAACAGCAAGCCTCGAGTTAAGCCCTTAACTAAGCAGGAGGCCAAGCACCCTTACGTATAGATTGGAGTTTGTATTATGGGTCAAAAGAGCTGTGTCATCTTCTTAATCCACAGTCTTGGTTCTAGTCTCCTGTTTGTATTGGGTTTTTATAGCTGTCAGTGAATGCAGATGAAACTCTTCAAGTGGGAAAACTTCTAATATATATTGCTCAGAACAGCTGATTTTTGTGACTGCAGCTGTGCAGTGAGAACTCTTCCCTTTGTAACCATGTCATATGGGTAGAATTACTGTTTTCTCTTGCATTTACATAAGTGATTCTGTGGGGAAAAACACTGAGAGCCACTGGGTTAATGTGTTTGTCTCATTCTCTGCAGAAATATATACGGGCGCTCATGCTCGAATGTAATTTTCTGTGATGAAAGTGAAAATAATAAGATTTTTTCTTTTTTTTTTTTTTCTGTTTAGGACTTAGAGGAATTCTGCTTTAAGTTTTGTGTCAATCATTTGACAGAAGTGACACAAACGACAGCGTTTTGGCAAATGGATGGTCCCCTCCTGAAGGAATTCATTGCTAAAGCCAGTAAATGTGGAGCCTTTAAGAACTGAAACGAGGCTGTAAGTTCCGGGTGTTTGTGGGGGTCTTTGCAGCTCTAGCCAGATGTCAGAACTGTACGGGTAACAGCCAGTCTCACCTGGCCCCTTGTACCAGATGTGAAAGGCCACAGTGAAAACAAATGTTTTCTGTGCTCCAGAGTGAACTGTTGTAAAAATGTCAAGCGAAATATTCACTTGGATTTAGCAAACCTGGATGGTGGAACCAGCTCAAGGCTTCAGACAGAGCGAGGAACCACGGCAGCGTGCGAAGGATGCCAGCCGGTGTGACGTGACGGACGTACCTTTCCAGCCTAGGAACCCTCCGCCCCAGCACAGCGCCTGTTAATGTTTTCAGTTTACTTCGAGGGGTCAGAGAGTAGTCTGACCTGAGCCACTGAATGATGTCACTTAAGTGATTAACTCTCTGGGATTATCGAGAAGCAAATGGCACGGATCTCTCACTGCATTTGCATGATTGTGAAGGAATGTGCCGTTTGCTGTAATTAATCAAGTGTATCCACTGCTTAGAAAAGTGTGCAAAAAATAATGTATCCTCCAAAGCCTACGCAAGGGCCTTTGAAGAAAGGGGTCACTAGTGACTCTAAGTGGAAGTACATTTCTCTATTTGGGTATACTGTAACATAAGTTGTAAAGTGTACGTTGTGTCATCTGTTCGAGCAATATTTATAATGGGTAATAGAAAACATTTCCTCTTCAGCGACTTCAGATTACAGTGGTTCCCGTGGAAGGGAAGGGATTACTGTCCTGAAAGTGGGGGTTTTGCATTTAAGTGTTGTACAAATTTAAACTACATGTAATAAAATTCACTTTTTTGTACCTGTTTGCTAGCGCACTTCTTTGGACTTTGCAGAAAATGGCAAGCTTTGTGTTACATAGAGCATATAGGCCAATTAAAAAAAAAAAAAAAAAAGCATGAAACAAACCAAAAATACCCCAACACAAAAACCAAAGCCAGAACCTGATTTTTTTTACTGTGCATGACAAATACCTGCGATCTCAATTTCAGAAAAGAACAAATTTATGTGAGGGCATTGATGTAGAGCCCACTGATTCCACTGCTTTTTTCACCAGTGACTGTAACCTTACAGCAGGTATGTATGGACATACACACCTACTAGTGTTGGTGTGCACTTCTAGTGTTACATCCCCACCAGAGATGTAACCAGAGATGTTCCAGAGAACCTGGAACTTAGATCTGAAGTTTCAGTTGACTACAGGGCTATTTGGGGTTATGACTTTGCCTAGAATTTGTATTGTTGCTAGAGCTGAGGAGTGGCTGCAGCATGATGTTGGGAGGTCAGTCTAGGATAGTCTGACAAAATGCTTCCAGATGTGCCATAAATGTTTCTAATAAACAACTTGTTTTGGATTTCAGGCTTTAGAGTGAAGGTTGAGCTTGGCAGGGGCAGAGCAGAAGAGTACACTACACTGCCCTGGAGCCTGTCAGTAATTCAAATGGCTGCTACAAGGGAAAAGAGCTCACACAAGATTTTGTGTCTTTCCCACGACGGTGGCTTTGTGTCTTCCTTTGTTCCCCAGTAACAGGTAACTCCATGCCCCATGTTAATACACTTGTGGTTTAGGGGGGGAGTTTTCCAAGCAGAACAGGTGTGAGTGGTCATAAAAACTACAAGTGTGGTGTCCTGTTGGGAACAGGTAACAGTTCTACCCCAGAGCTGATGTTCTGGAAGTTGTTATTCTGCACTTACTGATCTCCAGCTTCGTACAGAACAAGCTCAGGTTACAATTTTTTACCAGCAATGGTGGGAGTACAGCTGGTTTAACAGGATGGTGCTGCAGCCTGTCGTGGCAGCTGGTGGGGCACATGATCACTAAAGCAATGGCTGACTGATCCTACCCTGCTCGCTGTGGAGAAGCAAGGTGTAGTTACAACTACGGTGTGATAGGATACCCGCTCCCTGGCCACATACCTCCCCCCCATCCAACAGTGGGGCTCGTGCACATAACTAAAAAATACAGAGCTTTCTTAAAAATGTTTTATTTTATTAACTTACCCTTTTGTAGCTAAACAATGCTTTTTTGTATTCAAACAATTTTTTTGAAATAAAACGTGGAAGTCAGATCCTTTCTTAATGGGGAAAGGAAGATACAGTCCCTTGTTTGATCCATTTTACGTTGTACATGTTGTTTAGAGGATAATGCCCAACCATTTCTGGTCTGCCCACAAACACTGTTTCAGCACTGCCCTTACAGCAGAACTAGTTATACATTAAGCAGTCAATCAAGAATCATGTAATTAAAAAAAGGCCAGAGTTCTGTTTATAATTCAGAAGGCTTCTTTGAGTGCAAGGTCTGCTAATTTATCTTCTTTGGAAAGCCAGAGCAGCAACGTGATGCTTAAAACATCACCGTCGGGACACAGACAGCGAAGCAGCTACCGCACACAGTCAGAAGAGGGCTCCCACAAGTGTTCTGCGGCAGCTGCTGCTCCCTTGACTTTGAGAAAAGTCTTCATTGGACGGTGTCGTTGAGCTTTAAAAACAGTTAAATTTGGTGTATAACACTCATTGATCCACGGTAAAATTTGAAGAAAAGGGCAACTTAAAATTATTGCAACAGTGAGGTATAAAATGAGAAAAACAGCCAGTTCTTGCTTGTGTCTTGGGGTGGGGACAGGGAGGAATTACTTAAGACACTGACCAGACATACTTTATGGTTTCTATCATTAGAAAATCCTAAATATTGACACCATTACCGACAGAGTTCAGGTTATTCAGACATGGTGCTGGATGTACTCGCGGTGTTCTCCGGGGTGGGAAGGACGACTTCTTTTAAGTCCTGCAGTAGCTCAATCTTGTTATCCAGTCTTTTCCTGCTTTCCAGAAGTTCCTGGATTTTTTCTTCTGTTCCTGTTAGGAACAAGAAACGGATAAGAGCTTTTATTCATATGTAACTATTATTAATTTTAAATACATGTTAAATATGCATTAATGCTGCAGAGGCTGCCACCACATAGCTTAGCCTACAATAAAACCTCTGCCTTTCTGAAGCAAAGGCTTTCGCTTAGCACCCTGTACCCGTGGTCTCTTCATTAAGAGATGGACCATACGTTGTATGAAAAGAGATGAGCTGAAGTATTACAGAATCACAGAACGTCGGGGATTGGAAGGGACCTCGAAAGATCATCTAGACCAATCCCCCTGCCAGAGCAGGAACCTAAATGAGATCACACAGGAAGGCGTCCAGGCGGATTTTGAATGTCTCCAGAGAAGGAGACTCCACAACCTCCCTGGGCAGCCTGTGCCAGGGCTCTGTCACCCTCAATGTAAAGAAGTTTCTTCTCAAGTTTAAGCGGAAGCTTCTGAGTTCCAGCTCACACCCATTGCCCCTTGTCCTACCATTGGGCACCACTGAGAAGAGCCTGGCTCCATCCTCATGACATTTGCCCTTAACATATTTATAAACATTAATTTAATTTCATTAAAGCATGAAAAGCAAACACAAAGCAGCAGTTACATCCTTTGTCACCCATATACTGTAACCTCAAAACTAGATACATTATGGATTTAATTTAAACCATCACAGCAAATGTAAAAATTATTAATGTAGTTACTAACCCAATGCCCAATGTTACCTGGCACAGGAGCTTTAACAGTTCCATTTTCAGAATCCATTTGTATGGATTCTCCTCCAATAAAGATGCATTTTCAAGCTTTACAAGATAACATCTCTGAATTACACACTTGAAGCAAATTTACAAGACTAATGGATTTTAGCCAACAACAACAAAATTAAAAAGAGATGGTTTGGACAACTGCATTCAACAGCCTGATTCTCAAAAACCTGCCTCGAGCATTTACTGTTCCTGCTCCTGGCAACACAGCTATTGCCAGCACGCTGGTGGCACTGACCTTATGTGCAAAGCCCTGCCTGACCGGGTCTCTGCTCCTCCCCACTCCTTCCATTTTGTGAAATCAGGGAGAGCTTGGTAACAGGCCTCGCTAGAATGCAGAAGCACATCCCGTCACTGTCCCACCACACTCTCTGTCCGCTGTTTCTCGGTGTCAGCTCCACAGCTGACAAGACAGCAATGGAAACCGTTGACTTCACCGCTTGTCACAGGCAGCCCTTCTGGCCTGTCCACTTGGTATCAAGTCTCTGTGGTTAAAGGAACCAGCAGGCACGTATCTGAAGAAAAAGCTGGTCATGTACAAGGGGGAGCTGGAGAAAAAGCCCTTAGAGAATATTTGGATAAATTAATAAATTATCAGAAATAAATGGAAGAGCAAACGTGATTACTGTGTGACTGTATTCAGCATATGGGCGACCTCCAGCTGGAAGACATCTGGCTCCACTTTTCTTCTTCCAAAAGGATGTGGCAGAAACAGCAGCAGCCCAGAGAAATGTGTCAGTGATGGGAATGACTGGCCTATGGGAGCACTTAGACAGGAAGGCAGGTAACAGATTGGGAAGCTTCCACCTCATACAGATGAGGAACTAAAGGGAA